AGTAAATGCAATACAGATGATTTCAAAGAGCTGTATTTTCTTAGAGTGGTTTGAACAGGTGGTCTGTATTGGTGAAATTGATAAAAATGTAAGTTCTCTAGCAAAATGTTGAGACTTGGCACTTTCTAAATACAGTACATTCCAGTCTGTTCAGTGTTAGGGCAACTGAGGAGGAGCAATGCATAAACAGAGGGTCGATAAATTCCCTTGGGAAAAGGGGGGAAATAGGCATGTTAAATAATTGAAAACTTGCTGAGACCCACATTTTATGATTGAATGCTACAACTGGTACTAAGAGACTTGAGACATCCTAACTGTTACAGTGGGGCTGCTTTCCTTAACTGGGTAAAAGACGGAATAAATCTTGCTGCTAATCACAGAGACAGTCAACTGGAGTTGTATTTCTGGAAGTACATTGACTAACTAAACACTTTTTAACTAAGGGGTTTTGAATTTTTCTAAGTGATGACACTGTTACAGGTTTCTAACAGTTAGGCTTTGGCTCCACATGGTTAAATGGTTTTACCAGTAAAAGAAATTATAAGTGAATTTTAATTATATCCTCAGAGTAAACCAAGGCTTTCCCTTTATGATGTTTCAGTGCAGGATGACACCTTGATACCTTGATTTACTTAATTCTCTGGATTATCATTTTTTCCCCCCAATAAACTGTTTGCAGTGAGGATTTTTCTTCTCTCTAACCTTCCTTGAGGACAAGGATCTTGAGAAGCACACTGACGGTGTGTCACTTTGTTGAGCAGTGCTGGGCAAGCCTGCTGTAGTTACGTTGGCATGTGTAAAAGGGTTTTGATACAGCAGCACAGCAATTACAGAAAATGGAAAGTAGGCACTCAGGCTTTCTGTAGCTGAATTAGCAGTTATTTTTGACTCCCTTCAGTCACAGTTGCAATATTTGACTCTATTAGAAACAGACCTGTGCAGGATAGTTCTGTTGAAAGTAGAGAAAGCTATTTTCAGGTTAAGGTTTCATCTCAATAAAAGCTTAAGCAGAGGGTATGCTGAATACATCTCAACAAATTGCTGCCTCGCTAGTGTGGGTTGATGGCCAAGGCTTTAAAGAATCCTGTCTACCACTTGTAGGTGTTTTTCCCTGTTAAATTAATGAGGCTTTAGGTCAGTTTTGACAGTATCAGGTTAGAGTGGTTTACTCTCTTAAAACTCCCCTGTTCTGTTCCACTGACTGGCGGTAAGTTGGTGTCAACATTTCAGATGAAACCCCAACACTTTAACAGCAGGATTTAAGGAAACATTTCCATTTTTTTTCTGTTGAAATACAGATGAATTTGAATCCTTCTACCTGCTAACTGTCAAAAGTAACACAGCTTAGCTAACTTATTCTGTAACCAAACTTGAGAAAATGGTCCTATCAACTACATTTAGTTCTTTTTTGAAATTATTCTTTTGTCAGGGCTGAGTAACATACTACATAGGGCAGTTACTCCCAGGATAATTTCTTCCCTGCTAGAGAAGCAGACTTGTTTTGTAATCTTCCAGATTCTTTTGCATACCTATGAAATTTTGAAACTCACTGAGTAATACAGTAAAGAAGCCAACCCAGCTAGTTTAGAACATCCTTCTCTCTATGTGCTGAGAAAGAAGAGAGCACAAAGATAGTGAGACTGAATCTGAGCTGTATTTCTGTATTTGAACAAATGCCATTCATAATTAACTCTGGGATACCACATGGGCTTATTCCAAGTGAAGAAACATGAAGAAAACTAAATACAGTAATTTATTGGTAGCAGTCAGTAAACCTGCCTCCTTCCTAATCCTGAACATTGCACATGGTCCTAAAAACAGTTCATTTAGACTGATGGGGAAGGAAAAGCTGTCCCAGAGCTGTCCGTGTTCTTCACAGTGTTCTTTATTTTGGCTTTCAAACCAGACTATTTTAAGAAAAAGAAAAAGTAGTAATGGAGTAATTTTTATCATATGTATTGTTTGCTTGTTTGGGGTGTGCTGTTCGTTTTGGAGGTGGACCAAGGTTTCATTTCATCACGGCTTTTTGTAGTACTACCTAGACCAGTGCATGGTTCCATCCCCATTGCCAGCTCTTCTTCCTCATTTTAGACAAGGCATGGCCAAAGACCTAGTGAATAAGGGTGCGATTGGGAACTATTTAATTTATGTGTTTAGATGTCATTGGACCTGTTTTGGAAAGAAACTGGTTTGGCACTAAAGAAAAATGCATTTGACAATGACTACCCTACATGAAAACATGGGATAATGAACCAGAAATGAGTAATGGGATATAGCTTGGTTAAGTTGGGGAAAACTGGTGCCTAATGGTAACAGACAATTTAACAAGGAGGTAAGCAATACTGCCTTGCCAGTGAAAATTCACCTTCACAGATGAATTTTTACTTTGTATTTCATAAACTTGAGTGTTTAGTATTGCAGCCTTATTCTGTGTAGTTCTGTGTATTTATTTTATTTATATATAGTGGGGTTTTTACCTACACAGTTCACTTACATATTTGTCTATAAGCTTGGCAGCGACCACCTGTCAGGATTTTGCTCTGCCCAAGAGCAAGGGCTTGGTGAAAGAATATCTTTGCATATATTCCTCTTGGATCACTCAACAACAGTCAGCCTGTTTAATAGCTTGCCTGATAATTAGGGACAATATCAGCCCCTAGAAATGCTTTTCCTAAAATAATATGCAATTACTATTATTCTACTATAAGACAGAAACTTAACTTTACAGCTGCAACTAGTGTAATGAAATGCAGCCGTGTGGTGTTGGTTACTACTAGGTTAGGTTTCTCACAGGAAAATCTGTCTTCTCTCTTATGACTTAAGTAAATAAACCCCCTAAGTTCTCCTTAGTTTGTTAGAATTCAAAAAGCATTCTAGCAATGCATTTCTTCTGTTGGCAGGGCAGAGCAATGACACTCTATTTGCTTTGCTTGACAAGATGGACAGCAGTCAAAAAAAAAAGCAGCAGGGAAAATGTATTTTAAACTTTTACAGGGAGCTGATCCTCAGTTCAAGAGCATGCAAGATTTATTTATCTGTGTGGCTCTTTAGAATTCTCCGTATGCCTTCATTTCAGTTGTTCAGTGCATGCAGCGATATATTTAGCCTAAAACTTTTCATATTAAATATATACACATATATATACATGTGTATATTTGTGTATGTTTAATATGAATGGATTGCTAGAAAATGCTGGCCTTATTTAAGAAAGCAGAGTTGTGTTTGTTCAAAAATTTTGACTATTACACAGATTTATTTTACAGTTATCTTTAGGCTACATAAAAATTATTTTTAATCCCTCCCCCTCCTCTTAAATCAGGCTGGGTTTGTCAGGGAATTAAATGAAGAGCCATAACTTTGGCTCTTAGTTTACAGTGAAACAAACGATGTGAAATGCTTATTGTGTTTTAACAAATCACTGTTTATTGAATGATCCATGGTAACTATGTGCTTGATTTTTAGCAAGTAAAATCATGCTTGAGTTTAACTAAACAAATTTTACCCTGAGGAATGTCGGCTGGCACGCAGTAACTCCAGGGAGCGTTATTAATTCATTCATGATGCCTGCACCATAACTTCATGGGCAGTAAATATGCTTCTAATTCTTACAAAGATATCCTGTAACTCTGCAGTTCAAAACAAATATAAAGGGTGTGAAAGGAGAAATGCGTAATATCTCTTTAGTTAGTTCAGCGATCTCGTGAGACTATCAATCATAATTGCAGGTTTGAAGTTAAATATGCATCACTGTTGCATAGTTTTATGTACATTTGAAAGGCTTTACACAGCAGGATCAGCATCATCTGTATGCCATGATTAGTATTACAGGTAATTAATTTCACAGTAGCATAGCCAATGTGCAGAATAGATGATCTATTTTGAAAAAGGAAAATAGCCAACACAAATACACCCATCTTCATCACTTTATTGGAGCTTGCTATTTCCACTGCTTGGGCTTGAGGTAATACAGCATACCTGTTTTCAAGATGACAGCACTCCAACTACAATCATAAAGTTGGATACACATTTGAAATGTTTACAAAAAGATTGGACATACATAATAAAATCAGGATTTTGTCTCCACTACAGTTATGGCATTTTAAAGTGTGCAGCCTAAGAGTAAGAAAAACAATGGGGTTTATTTGTTTTGTTTTATATTTGAATGGTTTATTGGTTGGTTTACAATACTTCCTTTCAGTGAGTTAGGCTGAAAACAGCAGAGGACATGAGTTGACAGTCAGTTTAATCTGCTGATTCATCTGTTACAGTGATGGCTTCAGGCCAGAATAAAGCCTGAGAGCTGTGAAGATGCTGGGACTTGAAGGAATGTGGGTAAATTGTTGCTGAGTGAAGGCAGTGAAAGTTTTTTATTTTTGAAATTACTCTAATTTTGCACTGACAGAAATTCTTCTGTCTTGAACTTGCAGTTTCTTATAGTTAAATGGAGACCGAACATTAGAAAGATATAAGGACGGAACAGCTGGATATTAGTTAAGTGCTGCTTCCATAGATACCTTGTGCAACCAAAAATGCAGCTCAAATAAGCTTATGTTTCACAGCAATCAAACAGTTTTGGCAAAGGCTTTGCAAATGTCGTCTTTTCCTGGCAGACTTGCAAAATAAACCTGCTGGGTTAAGTAGTGAGACTAAAAGGGAAAAAATCCAGGAAATCTCTTCTTGCCAACAAGCAATCTGGAAGAAGGTTACAACTGAAGAATTGATGGTTTCTAATTTAAAAGAAAAGTCTTAAGTAGATTTAACCCTTTTTTGTATGAAGTCTGACTTGGAGAAGAAGATTTTTGAATATCTGATTGAAATGTACCGTGTGAATTTAGGAGAGTATAGCATTTCCTACATCACTAACAGTGGAACTGGGAGTTGTTTATATGAACAGAACAGATAGCTCACTGCCTTCTGCTTTTCAAAGTAAGTTCTTACAGGAGAGGGCTTGCTGTCATTTAAGAGTGTTTTGTGTATAATACCGCTTTTCTTCTCCATAGCTGTAAACACCAGCAGGTATGCCGAAAGTTATAGGATCCAGACATACGCAGAATATGTTGAGAAAAAACATGAAGATAAACGGGCAAAAAGAAAATGTACAGAAGATAGTTGGAAGGAGATGGAGAGAAAGCGGTTAAAAACTCAGAGCACATCTTATGTTTCCCAGAGTCGATACTACTGTGTTAACAGGTGAGACTTTTCATGCATTGTCAACTCTTGTATTTTTATCGTGTTTTTATTAGAAGTCTAGCAATTTTCACGTAGTTCTTAAGCAGTAGGAAACTTTAATTTTTGTTATGTACATATTTGTTTGCTGTCCATCAGTAGTGCTACATTGACTGTCACAAGATTGTAGCTGAAGGAGCAGAGGGAACTTTATCACAAATGTGATCAGACAAATTTTTAAAACATTGGGATCTTGAGGGCAGGTCAGACCAGAGCTTCTGAGCTTGATGTAGCAGTACCATGTCTTATAACCAAAATAAATGAATGATTTTCTCTATTTATTTAACACCTCTGAATGTCCTGTGTCATCTGGAAACTGAGCTGTCATCTTACACCCTTGTAAAGGCTCTCTTGGTTTTTGAATGACTTTCCATGTTGATAATACTGCCATAGAGAAGAGTATGAATTACTGTCTTGAGCAGTCCTGATGAACTCATCCTTATGCTTCAGAAACAGGAAGGCAAATGATGACACTTGCATGGTTTTGAGCTTTTGGAGTAAAACTTGAAAAGGGCTTTAGTTCATTATTGAAAGGCAAAATTAAGTCAGGAGATGCCTGTTTTGATTCTGGTCCAGTATGTTGCTGTGTGTGGTTCCATTTTTAACTCTCTCAGACTAAGGAATGGTTTGAGATATGATGGTAACAGGAGGCTTCATAGTCATCTGTGTAGCTGTGAACGGGAAGGGTCGTATATTACTGTTAATATAATTGTATAATTAACCTATGAAGTTATTACCATTCCTCTCTTTTCCTCACCACCCCCTTTTTTTCTATATAAAAATGAATTTCAGTGAAGTGCATAAGTTACATTTCTGAAAGGTGGTAATTTGGGGCTTTTTGTTGGTTGGTGTTTGGTTTTGTTTTTTCCTGATACAGACCAAATGAGATGGTCATAATACCAACACTGAGGTCTTTCTGCTGTTCCTTTCTTGGGAATGCCTTGATAAGTTCTAGCTTTTACTATATTTTCCTTTAAATGTTATCTGTTGTGTAACAAATATACTGAACTTGTTCTGTTCTTCTCACTTACATGAGCTTATGATTTGCCTACTCTGCAAAATTAAATGCAGGTGTGTATTTTGGCTAGCTGTCAAATGTTCATAACTTGTATTGTGGTGGGAATTCTAAATGTGTTGGAGACATGTTTGATCCCGAAAAATCATATGGAGGAACTGGTGACAAAAATCCATATCAAATGAAGTTAGTTTAATTGAACTATTGTACTTAAGAAAGCTTGGGAGTGCATGCTGTGAAGAGATGAGGAGCTCTGAAGATTGTCCTGGCAGTAGTTTACATATGGCTAAGGCTTAGGTCTATAATTAAGTCTCTATTAAATGATCTGAAAGTGCTTACTACATCTTGAGACTACAAAGAAATACCAAGTCCTAAGATTAATTTCCACTAGAGGAAGTATCTTTTCTCAGTGAAGATTGTTTTTGGGGTACCTCAGATTCTAGTCAGATGGTAAGAGTGGCAGTTTATGGTTTGAACCATAGACAACTTATTCTTCTAACATATACTTTGGAAAACAGTAAATGTGAAAAGCTGATTTGTTGTTATCTCTCAAAGTTTGAGGCCAACCACAAATGTGTAATTTGGGAAATGGCTGAATACAATTTTTGGTGAATTTTTTCCTTAAAATTAGGATACATCATAATGATTTGTATGCCAAAGCACTTAATGTCCTTGAAAGTTTTTATTCAATTTTTTCTAGTGTTGTAAAATTCCACAAGAAGCAGCCTTGGGTTTAGATGAACAGTATTTTGATAGTGTTGGATAGCAGACTTTATTTTCTTGGCTAGAACTTCTTTTGTTATTGATGTTACATGAATTTTTATTCCTTCATTTTTTCATTAATAAAGTAATTTGGATCCATCCCAGATTCCCTTTCATGCAGGTCTTTTGACATGTTTTTCTTAATTTTATTTGTATTTGTCACTAGTTAGTTTGTGTTCTCTTGTCATCTAAACTTTAGTAGATGTTTTCTCTTAAATGTAATCTGGTGAGGTATATTGTGGAACTGCAGAGCTTGTGGTCTTTCTGTTCACTCAAGATGAACATTTTCCTTTTGTTTCCTGACAAAGACATCTCAAAAATACGTATTTAATTTTTATATGTGGCCATTTTTATATAAAATGTAATAAATATTAATACAAATATTTTTTACAAAGCAATCAGGGCAAATACATTTGTGTGCATGTATATGTGTGTCCAGATTAATTTGAATCATACATAGTTGAGCATTCAATACTGTGATGTGTCTAGCAGCTGATGTCTTATAATAGCTTCATGTTACTACATCCTTTATTTATTTATTATTTAATAAGCTTGCTGCATCAGTTTCTGCCAGGGAGCACAGCTGCAGAATAGCTGTTCCTCTCCATGCTGACAGTATATCCTGGCTACTTTTTCATTCAGTAATGAAGTTGTTGGGTATTTCTGGTAAGGAACTTCTGTCTTAAATTGACAGATCAATGAGTATCTAACAAATTCTTTAATTCCTGTCTTACTAAGAAAACTGCAGTCCCATATTAGAGAGGAACTACTTTTCAGAAAATGTAGTATAATAGTATTAATAGCAGTCACAAGGTACTGTTTTTCCCACAGCATTCTCCTGGAGAAACTGGCTGCTCATGGCCTGGATGGAAGTGCTGTTTAGTGGATAAAAACTGGATGGACAGCCAAGCCCAAAGAGTGGTGGTGAATGGAGTTAAGTCCAGTTGGTGTGGCTGTTCACAAGTGATGTTCCCCAGGGCTTAGTACTGGAGCGAGTTCTATTTAATGTCTTTATCAATGATTTGGATAAGGGAATCAAGTGCACCCATAATAATGTTGCAGGTGGCAACAAGCTGGGGCAGAGTGTTGGTCTGCTTGAGGGTAGAGAAGGCTCTGCAGAGGGATCTGGACCAGCTAGGTCGATGGTCTGAGGCCAGTTGTACCTGAGATTCAACCCAGCTCAGTGCTGGGACCTGCACTTGAGCCACAAAAACTCCATGCAATGCTACAGGCTTGGGGAGGAGCAGCTGGAAAGCTCTTCGAGGAAAAGGACCTTGGGGTGCTGATTGATGGAGCTGAACATGAGCAGCTTTTGCCCAGGCAGCCAAGAAGGCCAATGGCATCCTGGTCTGTATCAGCAGCAGTGTGGCCAGCAGGGCCAGGGCAGTGATCATCCCCCTGTGTACCGGGCACCGGTGAGGCCGCATCTCAAATCCTGTGTTCAGTTCGGGGCCCCTCACTACACTGAGGTGCTGGAGCAGGTCCAGAGAAAGGACAGCGGAGCTGGTGAAGGGTCTGGACCACAAGTGTAGTGAGGACCGGGTAAGGGAACCAGGGGGTTTAGCCTGGAGGAAAGGAGGCTGAGCTCACAATGGAGAGGAGGTTGTAGCAAGGTGGAGGTTGGCCTCTTCTCTGAAGTAACAAGTGACAGGACAAGAGGAAATGGCCTCAGGTTGCACCAGGGGAGGTTTAGATTAGATATTCATAAAAATTTCTTGCTCAAAAGGATTGTCAAGCGCTGGAAGAGGCTGCTCAGGGAAGGATGTCAAATGCGATGTTGGCACTCAGGGACAGTGGTGGACTTGGCAATGCTGGGTTAATGCTTGGACTGAATGATCTTAAAGGTCTTTTCCAATCTAAACAATTCTACGATCCTAATAAAATTCCCTTTTCTAAAGCAGTTTACTATTCGGAGCACACTTTCAAAACTGAATGTAGCCTCTTGTGTATTGCCATGCCATGTAGTGCTTAGCAAATAACTGCCTGCTAGCTCTGCCTTGACTCTTAAATGCACGGATTTAAGATCTTTTCCTTAACAAAATGGTGTTACACCATAGCATGAAAAATCAAGTAAGGTATGTTCTATGTAAAACTAAGTATCTTGTTCTGCTTATACTTAGTTATTCTCATTTTCCTGATCGTGATCTAGGAATGAGTAAAACAGAATAAGGCCCGTGGCAAAAGACATATTCTAGTAAGAAGTACAGGAAAGTGATACATCATTTTGCCTTACGAATGTTCTAGCTAAAAACAGGAGTGCTACGTCTTCTGTCAAGTAAGGGTGCTGTTGTAGCACTGCTTCCTTGAATGCCTTTATTTTCCAGAGAGAATATAGTTTATCTCATTTTTGAAATGTTCATGTATTTCTGCTAATGATTCTTTTGGTTTTTTTTTTTTTACAGAAATGGTTGTTCATAGTGGTTTATTTTTAAACAAAGTATAAGAATTGGGAAAAGCTATGTCATCAAAGATATGCACAATAAATATTGCAAGCAAATTATTACAGTGTTCTATTGTTATTTCAAGTGATTTCACTAGCTCTTAAGCCAAAATAGCTGATTTTTATGATAGGTCAGTAACTCCTCCCCCCACATGTTGTTCAAAGTGGCAAGAGAAGACAGGGTTTATGTTTTCATTTAAATTATATTTACTTGGAGTTAAAGGTCTGTATATATCCAGGCCAGTTCAAGATTCTCTCTTGTGATGAAAGTAGGTGGTCCGTTTGAAAGAAAGACATACTTTTCAAAACCAGAAAATGTTTAATGTTGCATCAACACAATTGTTCCGTCCCCCCTCCTGTTGCTGATTCTTTCACAATAATTACCATACTATTCGGATTGCTGCTATTTGGTAGCTGTAATGATGTTACAAAGTGCATGGGCAGTTTAATCAGCTGAAGCCTGAGCTCTTTTTGGCAGTACAGTGATATATCAAGTCCTCCACGTCCTGTTGATTCGTCAGATTGTGTTTAATACGAATGCTGCTAGTCATACTGCTGGAATTTAAGAAAAATACTGTATTCTTTGTTGATTACAACGGTATTTGATAGTAATAGAAATCAAGAATAAAATATAGATTCTTTGTTTGTTTGTTTCTACCACTTTCCTCTAATGGCATTCATCCTCATCAGGTTTGCCTGTGTGCTAACATTAAAATAAGTCAAGAGGCTTGGAACCCCACCTGCAACCAGCACTGACTGATGTGAGAGCTGTATTATGTTCACTAAGTAGATTTGCTAACTGGCTAATGTATGATAGGCTTTTCTTCTGATGGGCTGTTCTGGTGTCCCACCTGTTGTACCTGTTGTCCCCATCATCCCCATCGCATCCTGTTCCCCACCACCACCCTAAAACCTAAACAAAACCAAACAACATAAAACAAACGCAAATCCCCCACCCCAAAAAAAAACCAAACCCCAACATCACCAAAACTTGGCTATTAACTTTATTTTGTCCAGGCATACTCTTTTACATGTGTGTTTTGAAACTTCTGTCTCTAAATGGGTCAGCTATTCAAACAGCTGAGGATCCCGAACAAATGTATCTGAATTGGACAGTTATTGATAGCTATTAGTTTGTTCAGTTCTTTCACTTGTTGTTTCTCAGTGAGGAAATTGAGAGAGAAACATGGGCATATTCCAAAATAGCTGGTATAACTAGTATCAACCGCTAGCCATCTAGAATCCATACAATGAATGAATAAATGTAAAATAATATTTTGGGAGAAAACAAGAAGTCAACAGTCCTTGATTATAAAATATCAATATATTTTTGATTTTGAGCTGCTGGTTTGTTTTTTTTTTTGGTGTGGTTTTCTTCCTTAAGTTATCTGCAGGAAGAAAATAAGGCCTAAAATTAATTTTTATTTTGTACTTCGGTACACGGCTAAATGCACACCTTCAGTTCAACAACTTGTTTCTCTTTTTTTGCAGTAATTTCTCAAGAGTCTAAGTAGAAAACATTTAAATTCAGTCGTAAGTCCTTTCAAAAAGGGAGCTTCTCCCTACAGCAGGTGCAGGTTCCCCACTAAGAGCCAGGTGCTTATATTATGTCTCAGAAATCCTGGAATCATAATTTATGGCTCCTGAGCTTTTCTTTCTTACATATTCTTCAGAATATCTTTCTTAAAAGTAGAATTCTTAAAAAAATCTCTAAAAATTATTTGCATGTTTGTTAAATATTGGTTTTAGTAATTAATATATTTTTTATAAACGTGTTCAATATGTTTGTTAAATATTAGTTTTTAATTTTCCAAGTGCTCTTTCTTTACTAGACTTTTTTTCTTTCCAAACCTAGTTTTTGCCTATTTTACAGTATTAAAGTGTGTATGTACGATAAACCGTTCTCTCAAGCTTTTTGGCTTGCATCTTATTACTGATGGTAGTTGTGGTGTGATTTGAAATGATGATTTGTAAGAAATCATGCAAGAAGGCCTTCTGTGTGTGAATGTTTGGAGGAAAAGCCAGCTATTCATCAAAGTAAATGGTGTTTGTGCTTCTAAAGTTGAAATAAGAGCAAGAGGCATAATCATATGTTTCATGTTTGTTTATTGCCTTTGGACATCCCAGAAAGACTCTGTTTTAAATTGCAAAATGTTCAGCTGAAAAAATTCCATTTCAAAGCCAAAACTACACAGTCAGATTTAACAGTCCTTTAGCTAAAATCTTCTTGAAACACCAGAATTCCCTACTATTATTGATTAGAAAGAAAAAATAAAGCAGCTTGTAAAGCTTTGCACTGTAACTGGGTATTCATTTTTATTTAAATAAAAGAACAGAACATGACTTAGATGCATACAGCAATTTTGTGTAGTTCTTAATGGAAAACCTAAAGGTTTTCTAAGTTTAATTGGTTGTTCTAGAAGTGCATTAAAATAAACGTTTAAGTAGCTGATATTCACGTCTAGGAGTTTGCAATAAGTTTTTTAATAAGCCCCTTTGCTGCTGTATTCTTTCTTATACTCGTGCTAATTTGATTTAGTATTGTCATTTGTCTTTCAAGGAAACATGACAGTAGCACGACAGTCAAACAAAAAATTTGTTCAGTGTTTTTTCAGTGTGTTCTGAATGAAATGGAGCTCAAAGTTAATCTTCATACTGTATTACTCATTCAAATACTACCTGTGAAATGATTGTGCAATTTTTCATGCTGTTTATTTTACCAGCCTGTTGGATGGCAGGACTCTTAACTTTAATGCCTGATTTAAAGTTTGTTATATGGAACTTGATGGGTTTCTCTACCTATATATAATAGACGTGCTTTTAAAACTGCATATAGTTCCAGGGGAGAGGTTGAAGTTATAATCTAGAATCATTCATCAGCAAGATGTGTGTTGGAAGCTTAACAGTTGTGTATAACTCAGTGTCTATTGAAAATGCTTTACAAAAGCTTTCATAACTAAAAGAATAAAAAATAATACTAAGCAGGGAAGAGAGAACAGCTTTAATTACATTTGAGTTGAGTGATCTCATCAGAGTAGCAGCTAAGCCTGAGACATCTGTAGTACAAAGAATGAATAGCTTCATCTACGTAAGACAGGATTAGATAGCCAATTTATGGAATTTTATAGTTAAATCAGATCTTCCAGATAATGTAATTTCATGGTACACCACTTAATACAGTTTAATCTATTACCTTCATAAGCATTTAATAGATGTACAACAACTAGTACCTATGTAATAGCTATTCTTGACTTGTTCATAATCGTATTTCTTCTACATTTCAGTTTTACAGGTACAAGTACAGTGGGAAAAAGAAGCATGAGTCCTATTCAGGAAGAAACTAGTTCTGATGATATGGAAGAGGGAGAAGGCCAAGATCCAGAATATGATCAGACAGACTCCTGTGCAGAGTCCCTCCCAGATGGTAAGAAGAGAGCCAAAAAATTCAAAAAGATCAAGACAGGACAAGTTCCAGCAGGTAAGAGCAATGTTCATGTGCATGTTTGTCTCTTCTGTTTGGAACTACTCTAGGCCTGAGAAGAATTGAAGTTATCTTCTTGAAAGTCTTAACTTATTGCAGCCCCACCTGAGACTGGCCAAAGGAAGCAGGATGTAGTTGATTTCTTACTTGCTTGCTTACTTTCTTGAAATAAAGCTCTTTGAATATTTTTAGATATTCTTAATATTTTTTCTTTTTATGTGACCTTCTACTTACGGTTACCCAATATGTCTTGCATATCATAATCAAAATTGAAGGAATTCTGGAAGTAGGATTCTAGAATAGATTTCCCTGTTAATCTAATACTTCATCACAAAATGTAAGTTTAACTTAAGGTGGACATTTTCTTTTAAGCTTGATTGGATAGAGTTATTGCGTATTTCAATGAACATATTTTGCCCCACCAAATGTGTGTCATTAGACTACCTCTGTTGCTTGCAAATAAGTCCAGTTTTAATAAACCTGCCTGCTGTTCTGAAAGCTAATATATGTGCCCTTTTAATTCGGACTTTATATACCCTGATAGTATCACACTAACTTCCCTTGTTTATGGTTATTTGTGAGACAGGGTATTTCTGTATGCTGAGAAAACTTCTTAGTCTGTTCAGAATATTATTTGCCTCTACAATTAAGCCAAAACTTGACAGTCTACCTGCCTGCCCCTCACGACTTCTTTGGCACACCTCTTGCAACAGGCTGTTTCAGGTTGAGTACAGTTTGACCCAGTTGCTGTTTTATATCCCCTAGTATAAATAACCGTGCTGCAACTATACTGAAACCCTTTCCTCTCTGGAACGTTTCCTGAGAATGTGTTCACTCTGAGACAACTCCATGAAGGAGTAAGCTGCCAGACTGGTGCTGATCTGCTTGCAAAGGCCCGTTAGCTTTCTGGGTGCTTTGCATTTATGAATCACTTGGCTTTGTGGTTTTTTTTCTGGTAACACTTGGCAAGATGCTGATGAAGAGTGAGTGTGTTTAAAATGTCTTCCAGACATTTTGGACAGGTGGTCATAGTCATTCTTAACATTTCTTGCAGTCTACCTCATGCTCCGAGTATGCCTTTGCTTATTTGAAGGGCTTGCTGGACTGTGAGCAAATCATTCACATTTCATGGGCTGCTAGAGGAGCTCACTTTCAGGAGATGGAGATTTTGAAAAGTAATAGTATTGTTTTTCTTGTAAAAGTGTGAACTTGTGAATTTGCCAGGTGATATGATTTTTTTTTTCTTCCATTTTATAAATTTTCTTTTTTCATTAATCTGATATAGAACTCACAGTATAATGCTTGAACAATAAATAGTGTTTCTAATAGAGATGATAAACCCAAATAACCTTTTTCTTTCTTCTAAAAACTGATGTATATATTAGTATATGCAGTGTTCTGTGTGGTGTTTGTAATCATATCCTTTAGTGTTCTTTATTTGGTTGAAGAATTTTCACGTAGGGTTGATATTGCAGAGTTTAATACCTATATAATCTTTTTAATTTTTTTTTTAGCAAAAGTACTTTGTACTGTATGTCTGACTGAACAAAGGCAGGTGACAGTCAGATGACTGGTTCACCTGATATTTTTGATGCCTTGTGTAAGTTACTGCAGCCTGTACAAAACCAAAGTAATTAAATAACCTTAGGTCACATGAATTTAAACATCAAAAGATTTTCTTTTCATTGATAATATCTAATGTTGATTCTGTTTCAAACTCTGTTTGTAATTTCTTGCAGAAATTAGACTAGTAAAAAAAATCATATCTTAATTATTGGTCATGTGGAGCACTGACTGTATTGAAGTATATTCAAATATTGAGTTAAAACTTTATTTCAGTATCTACTCTAGTCATTTTTATCCAGAAAGTGATATTGTATACCAAGCATCATTTCTTCTGATTCGGGAGAGTAAAATCTTTCTCAGCCAATTCAAAAGCTGTGCTTGGAAATCACTGTTTTTGTAATTCAGTAGGGCAATTGGGCCATGCAAGCATGTGTAAAAGGACAAGACTGTCTACTGTAGTTCCAGGTATTAAAATTTGTGCTATGTATTTGGAATTATGGAAATATATATTATCCCTGTTCATCTTTCTTCTCCAGTTAATGTGGACAGGAGATATTCTTCACTGTATTCCTTAAACAAGAATGGCTGCAAGTAGACTTGGGGAAAGAGTATTGTTTAACTTTATCATCCCAGTTATTGCAAAACCAAAATTACTTGGATTAAAAATTCATTAATTGCAAAATACAGTATTTACCATTTGGGTAAGAAACTTAAAATTAACTTTTTTTTAAAGTACCTACTTGTAAAGTCTCTTGGTTGCCCTTTGTAAATATTGACTTGCCAGTAAGGTATTTAGAGCCTTGCTCAAGAGCAGAAAATGTACACTCTGACAGAAAAAAAAATACTCTTGGTTTGATATTTATTGCTCTCAGTGTTTGTATATTGAAGTCTTTAATATATTGCTCTGCAACTCTGTCTTTTAGGAAGCCTCACAACTAGTTCCACTGGAATTTTTGAAGTCCCTGAAACGTGGTAGGAAACGACTGCCTTAACAAGTGGAATTGATTGAAAGCAGTTGCAAGAATACACCTCTTGGAAGCCATACTTTATTTAAATAAAGTGGTGTTAACAAAGCAGTATGTGTCCTGAAAATCAGTTTAATTATTTTAAACTGTTTACTGAACAATCACTGTCAATTTTACCTGTGTGTATATTAACTAGTATACGACTCGTTGATCACGTGAAATCCTTGCTGTCGTAAATGTTAGGTTTAAGAAGCAAGACTAAATGTATTTTGGTCACCTACTTTGGCATGTTAGCTATAAAATGTACAAAAAGTACTGGCACTCTATGATTTTGTGCTAGGTTGTTTCCTGTGCTTGAGGTGATTTGTTACCACAAATGTCCTCATCATTGGCTATTCTTAAGGCAATATCAGTATGCTATTGGTTTTCCTAAAACAGGTAGACCTGCAGTTTCACATACTGCTTTCTACCAGTTACTTTATCTGGAAATTTTGGTTTGTTTTCCATTCTGTACCCCCTGTTCAGTAGTACTCATCTTAATACCAGCTTTACCAGATACCTTACCCTTTCAAAACCCTGAAACTTCCAAGTTTATCAAACATTGATTTCCTCAATATATGGAATTAATGTTTCTTCCCTCCTTCTTCCCCAGCTTGTGGGGTTTTTGTAAAAATATTTTTTGGTACCTGTGACAAACCTGCTAACTGCACCAGCCCTTTATTTGTTTAAAAAAGGATCTGCATTGGTAGATTTAAGAAAATGTTTGATATTTAACATTTTTGTATCAAGGAAATAAAAACAAAAGATGTATTTCCATAAAATGAAAAAATTAAAGACATTTTCTTAGGAACTGTTTTGGTTTTATTTATTAGTTTATGAAATATTTTAAGTGAACTCTTTTTTTTTTTTTTCTTTTGTAATATAACTGTTTTTTTGTCAGCCTGTCATTAGCTTTTTTTCCATGGATGACTTTCAAGATATTTGTGAAGTGTAACCAAGAAAAGCAAGCCTGTTGTCTTAAGATTTAAATCACTATACATTTCCCTTGGAAGGGGGGGGGGGGAAGAAGCCAGTTCTACAAATCAGCAAGATCAAAACCATTGCTGTGGAAAAGTGGAATATTAAGAAGTCTTCATCAGATTGTATTTACAGTAGAATGGGAACCACTGTCATTTGAGCAATGCAATAACCTGTTTTGAAGGTATGCCAAAATTTGTGGGGTTTTAAATGATTTTGAGAGCTATCTTGAACCTTCATTGCAAAGGGAAAAATAATTTAAAGACATTAAACGTGACATGTTTTATTTCTAACCTTGGAATACTACCAGAAGTAGTATAATTAAGTTGTTTTGGTGGGTTTTGTTTTTTTTTTTTTAATAGCTGCCGTATCATCACATTCTCACACTAAAATGTGGGAAAGAAGAGAGTGTTATTAGTGATGCAAGGGAAAATTAGTTACTGAACTCTTCTGCTGCCAAGGATCCAGAGACTTTTCTTCTCTGGGACTCATGACCTTAGGAGTAAATATTTAAATCACTTTTATCTTGAGTATCCAAACCTACAAAGAAACTACAAATTTAGTTCTCAGAATAAATACAACACTTAAAGAGAAGTTGTACAAAATACTCATTTCTTATGGAGACAATCCAGGTAATTAACATGGTGTTCTATCCAAATGTTGACAGGGGCGTTATTAACTGTATCCAAAAGAACTGGCATAACTTCATTTGTGAGGGAGTCAAAACAATACAAAAAGTATTTAAAGGGATTGGCAGAAGTATAGGTTAAAGGGTGAGGAAGCTGCTGCTCAAGAGATACACAGAGGCCCTCTCTGTCATAGAGAATCCACATGGAGTCTTTACCCTGAGGCCATTAGGATCTTCATGGTACTGACTTCAATCTTGAACACTGCTTACATGCCTGCAGGGAAAATAGAAATACTAATTGCACTGCAATATAATCCCATACAAACCTGTTTTTTCAGAGTAGGCCATGCATATCATTCTCTGAACTACAAAGGTCAGTCGATACTGCCACTATTTCTATCCCCTTCCCCTCACGAATTGTCATTTTGAGGAGCAAGACGTTATTTATCTCTACCTTAATTAAAACAACTTAAGAAACTAGTGCTCTCCCGTTTTGTAGTCCTTATGTGTTTGATTTTACTAGTTAACACCTCAGTAAGGTACTAAAATATGACCAGATGTGAGATAGAGTGTTTCAATACTATGTTTGGGTGGAGAACTGTCAGGGCCCAGTGATGGGGACAGGACGCAGTGGTGTGCTAGGAAGAAACTGGCCCCATTCATACCACATCAAACCTGCTTATTCTGTGGTGTTTGGTGCACTTCCCTTTGTTCTAGATGGAATCATTAATTCTAGAAGGGAAAGAATGTAGCTTCTTAAATTAGATCCACATTTGTTTCCTAATGTATGTTTAAAATATGTGCATAGAATTTAGCTCTTTACAGCGTTTGTTTCTGGAAAACAAAGCTGTCATCACTAGTCTTCATGGCTGTGGAGTTTCCTGGGTCATGCTCTCTGGGGGTTTTATGTACTATTACTTGACTCCAGAGGTACGGTAAGGCATTTCTGGCTCTTTTGCTGTGGAGATAGGAAGTTGCTGAGAGGCTGTTTTGGCCTGATAAAAAGTCAGAAGCATTTGTGTAATACTTTGATTGAATTACTTTTTCTAATTACTTTCTTCATTCCTGTTTGTCCCTGAGAGCGTGGTGGTGGGGGGGGGGACACAGATCTGTTCATTATAGATCTGTTCTGCTTTCCACTTGGGGTAGCAGCGATGGCTACACCTAGATCAGTGTCCTGCAGAGCTGTATCTGGTCAGGGCCAAACCAGCTCAGGCAGCAGGACCTGCACCCACCCTTTAGCCTTTCTCTGGTGAGCAGTGTGGAATGGCCTCCCCACTTCCCACAGCGCCGGGCAGGAGGTGGGCTGGGCTGGACTGGAGACCGTGAGGAGCCAGGGCAGGGCGGGCTGTGTGGGGCAGGGGCTGCAGCAGCCTGGGGGTTGATCAGCACAGTTTATAGTAAGTTGCTGGTAGACAAGATATAGGGAGAAAAAGGTAATGTAATGTAAAGGGAAGAGCATGAGTGGCCCTGTAGCATGGATTTGAACAGGGATAGGTAAGAGAAACGTAGACTAAGGGAGAATGAACTATCCCATATAAAATTAAGATTGCTGGGCGTGCAACAGTCTATTCTTGGTATCAGGGTTGAGCTTATGGTTTGGAACAAAAAGCTAAAGGCTTCAAGCGATTCAGCTGGAAGACTAAATTCAACTATCCATCCAGTGGAGAAACCAAGAGGTAGAAAGCTAAAACCTGTGATGGTTCTGGGGAATAGTAAAGGTTACAACTCTTTCTTTCTTTAAACTGTTGAGTTCTGTCATGGTGCCAGAAAATGTCTGGTACTCTGGATGTGTTCTCTATCTTTAAATCATGGTAAACGTAACACAGACAAAAATGTCCTCTGCAGTTGAGCTTCAGATCATACACAAGAAGACTCCTGATAATCAAAAGTTCTTGGCTTCTGAAGCATTGAGACTTGCCAGCTGACCAGATGTGTACATTGAAGAAGATTCCTCAAGTCACTCCACAGTACATTCAGTAAATGAATAAACACTTGTCTATATTGCACTTTTGTAACTTTAAACTTACACTGAACTAACCTTCCCTGTGTGCTTTCCAGAGATGAAGAGCAATAGCTGGTGGGTTAGGCTGGGATTTATAGAGTCAATATACTCATAATTAAGATGTTCTTTTTGCTTTAATAGATACGTGGAAAGCTCCTTTAAAAAGAAGTATTCTTTTTCCAGCGAAGCAGTTATTGTCAGCCGTGTCCTTTCATGAGCACTGTGGCAGAACATGGGTTGGTCCCAGCTCATGAGGAGCTCATGGAATTCATCTGTTCGTAAATGGAATATAGAAAACATTCAGCCAAACTGTATAGATTTCCCTGCCTTTATGTTGATTTCTTAAAAATGACTGAGAGTGTATTTGTACATGAGCAGTCTGCAGACTGCAAGTTCTTGCGAACAATTTTCCGGTTTATTGCCAGAGTGACCCTATATGATGTGGCTGACGTTAGTAGGCAGTTGAACACGAAAATCTGGAGGTTGTGGCCATGCCAAGCCAGCTGCACCCTAATTGGTGATCTGTTTACAACCTATCAATGAGTGAAAATACGTTTGTGTTAAAGTTGATTGCTTCAGAATCAGCCCTTGAAGTTACCAGTTCCTTATACAAGCCTCAAAAAAAATTGCACTGTTAAAGTTCTAAGAAGAACTATTTTGTTTGATTCGAGAGACTTTGTGAATAATTTTCTCTTAGTAATGAGTGTAAATGTTCATATGTATGCACATATATATACTTTACCTTGAATGTCTTTTTTAAATATGATTTCAAACTTAGAATGTTCAGAGAAGGCTGAACACGTTTAGTTCGTGTCTATTCTCAGTTTACCTTTTTTTTTATTTTTTTTTTTAGTTAGAAGTTAGATGTCTTCATTGTGGGCTGCTTCTTACCCTTCAAAAATAAGCCTGCTCTGAGCATGTACAGTGTGCATGTCTGAGTCTGCCATTTAGATTTTTTTTTTGTGATAGGGGAAGTTGCTTGTCACATTCACAATAAATAACTGATATATATTTGCTAACAATTCCACAATAATTTAAAATTGTCCCACTTCAGCCTTCCATTTTAATTATCTCATGTTGGATTTAATTTCAGTTATAATGTTCTGTTGAAAAATGACTAGTGATCAATAGAGATTTTTTACTACAGTAGTGTAGAACTGCTGAAAGTGAAAACAATAGTTCAGTTGTGTGGTCCTTGATGAGTGTATTGTTTTCAACTAATAATGCAGTGTTACAAAGAGGGGATTTACCAGAGAACTTCACCTTGATGTTACTGGAGTCCCTTGCATGTAGTCTAATAACCCCTTCTGCTAGATTGTACCATACTAGCCTATGTTTTTAAAGTAATTGTTACTAAAACAGATTAAGGAATGTTTATGGTAATACTAAATGATTAGTCTGTGAAAAAATTAATTGGAAGTGTTTGTATTGGTAAATTTTAGGGAGTAAATGCTTGAGATG